AGAGAGAGAGAGAGAGAGAGAGAGAGAGAGAGAGAGAGAGAGAGAGAGAGAGAGAGAGAGAACATCAAAAGCTCTTTGGAAATTGTGTGCAACACTGATGTGATTTTGCACCTTAGCACACAGGCTGTGTTTAATAAAAACAGACATTTCAGATGGGACCAAGGCATCCCATCATGTTAATGTGTCTGTCCTCTACTGGAAAGTCAGGAGAGTTTGTGCTAAAGGTAAAAGTCAGTCTGACCCCGCCATGCCAAACGTTTAGCTGCAGAGTGGCAGGTTGTCACGTACTGTATTGTCCAAACTGTCTCAAGTCGTCTTTTTATGTTTCAAAGAAGCCAGACTTTTTTTTAGTGATCTTTGAAAGTGTTTTGAAGCCATGTTTCTTCAGGCTGTCTAAAGGTTTTTCTTTTTCTTTCCCCCCCCACTCATAACCAGTCCAGTGCCCGATCTCTTTCAGAAGAATGTCTTATTGTTTAAGCAGCCTAATTTGACCTTTGAATCATTCAGTCACAAAAAAAGGGTTTCAGAACTAAAAAAAAAAAAAAAAGAAACAATTCTGTCTTCACACTAAGGTCGTGCATCTCTGGTCCGATAGAAACAAAACAATTCACTCATCAATCAAAACGCAGTGAAACTGCAGTCTTTCTCCAGCACAGCAGGAGTTGATACTGATAAAATGTAACTGATACACAGCAGGAATGGATCTGATTGTTGCTGAAAAGACACATAAATAGGCATCACAATGTCCTCCCAAACATGCATTTACTGATGGCTGCTCTACTGATCCAGCTGCATTTTGAGTTTATGAATAATTATAATTGGTTAATCTTCACTTTGCCATCCAACATATAATGGAAAACTTAGCAAAGAACCAATTTAAACTAAAGAAAGTGCATTTTCTGCAAAAATGCAGTCTGAATGTTGAGAACTGAAAACTGCTGAAGATGAAACTGAGTTTTTAAATCTAAAAGAAGCAGAATATCAGATAATAGGTAAAAAGAGCAAAAACACAAGCCAAAAGCCCAAAGTAACAAAACATTAACATAAAACTACAAGTGGAAAAATGTTATTAAAAGTCGTAAATTAGAGTTAAAAAGCCCAAAATAGCTAAAGACAAAAACAAAACAAGCTAAAAGTGGCTAAATTTTACTACAATGTAAAAGTAGATGAATAGTTAATAAAATCTAAAAGTAGCATAAGAAGACAAGGATAGAGAGAGAGAATGCCGAACTCGGTTTCAAAAAGTACCATTTTGGGGATCTTATGGTTTTTCAATGTGTTGCACCAACACTGCTGGACATAAAGGCAGACACCCCTGCAAACGTAAAAAGTGGGTAAAAACAATGTATGTATGTATGTATGTATGTATGTATGTATGTATGTATGTATGTATGTATGTATGTATGTATGTATGTATGTATGTATGTATGTATGTAT